GTCGAGTTTACGACAGCGGGGTGACGATCGCAGTACTGGGAGTTAGCACGTGACGACCGGGATCGTCGGTGAGGGTATGAGGATCGATGATCGGAGTTGAGTTGATTGGCCCGGGGCCATATTGGAATTAACGGCGAATGCGCCTTTGTTGCGGATTGTTATCTTTGGCGTGAGTGTACGGCGGCGACGCCGAACGTTTCTCTTTCCGGACCTTGTCATCTTCTATTTTGATTTTTTTTCCCTCGACTCTCTCTCACTCTCTTTCTCTCTCTCTCTTTCTTTCTCTTCCTCTTTTTGAATGATGATGCGCCTGAATGATTGTCCCTCTCCTGAATGGGAATGAGTTTGCATCCTGTTTCTGTGTGAAAGAACTTCTTCCGGAACTCTTCCACTAGTTTCCTGGGTAATCCCCTTACGCAAGGACCCTGTCGTCTTGTCTTGTGAATGGTGGATGCGTGTGTACTGTGCAAAGCGATCTATCCTTTCCTGTGCATGTCTCATTTTCGCACCTTCCACAGTGGATGCATGCATGGAGACGTGTGACTCTTTTTTATTAGACGATCGTCGCCGGGATTTTGTCCGAGAATGCAAGAGTGTTTAGATCTGTAGCTCTGAGTGCACTGCGCATGCCGTCTGCCTTATGCTGTCCGGCACCAGTAGCCGACCCACGAGGCGGCCTCGAGAAACAAGGCGCCAGGAATCAACATCGAACTGGCTAACTAAAGTTGAGCCGCGATCGGTCCCGTCAGTTGCATGCATGATTCAACTGACGAGTGTTTTTCCCCCTTCTTTGACAGAAAAGGATTGATTGAGGATTATTTTCTCTTTGTGATTGACATGTGGACTGACAAGTACCCCTCCGATCGGGCGTCAGCCTCCCGTACCTCCCGTACCCACACGACCTTTTCCCTACAACGAGGAAAGGATACGTGTATGCGAGTGGGACGTACGAGAAGTTGTSGCACAGATCGGAGGACGATACTACTTCCCCTCCGCAAACCGTTGTTCGGGGYTCGTAGAGGCTGGGTTTGTTATTATCGACACACACTTCCCACCCTACTCAATATTGCTCCCCTTTAACGAACTAATCGTTATCMCGTGGACGRCAGTGGCGCCCCATTAGCCTCGAACCCTGTGCACARAGTGCCAGCRTTTCGATCGCTACGAAGCGAAGGGCTTCCACTACCGAATACGGAGTGAGGRCGGGCACAAGGAGAGAGCCACGYGTCTGCGACCCTCCTCATCAGACTCARAACTGACCARCGAACGACGACGRGACTTGATCYGAAAACGAGACACGCGAAGCGTGCCAAAGCCCTTCCGCTCTAAACGACGGGCCGTAGCACGGTGGGAAGCCCGACAATACTTCCTAGATTGAATTTGGATTTTGCTCTCTTCGCGCCTTGTCCGCGCGCGCGTTCCGCAACGCGCGAAAACAATCGACTTGCTCCATCGGACCAACACGGGGGATTTCAGTTTCGTCTGTGTCCCCACGCTCAATTTCCAAAAATCCTTGGCACACCCCATCTTGCTGTTTTTCTGGGCCTCTGTCCGTACAATTAATACTCCGAACAAAAGACAGCACAGGCGTGAGGTTGATATCGGAGCCGACACGTGTCGGTTCTGATGATAGTAAGTCGAACTGGCGATTGGTAGGAGAGACCCTCAACTAACTCGTCGGGATCGCCCAGTAACCACGTCTTAGTCTAGTGCGGCTGCACCAGCAATACCAATGGTGGACGGTACTAGGGTGATCGTTGGTATCCCTGCCCCCTTCCCCTTCTTCCCTAACAATACTCATCCCGAGGCTTGGCTGGAAGCTGTTGAAGCTCAAAACTACAGCGCAGCCGACCTCCCCCGCGTTCTGACATTGCTACTTCGCAACACATCCCGTGACTGGTTTAGAAAACATACGTGGGTAGATTGGGACACTTTCAAGCGAGCATTTTTGGCTCGATTTGATACGGTTAGTGAAGATGCCGCCTGGTATGTACTCAAAAATCGACCTCAAGGACCAGGGGAATTGTTGCTCGATTTCGTCGATCTGTTCCAAACCACGTTGGACAAATCCAGGCGGGACGAGAAATCCGCTCGAGATTTGTTCATCGATCACCTACGAAGTCCGACATTAAAGGGCAAACTGCAGAAGAAGGTCCCGCCAAAAACACACCAGTTATCGACCATCATCACTAAAGCATTAGAGTTGGACCTGACTGATACAAAAAAATATATTAGTCAGGGAGACGAAGATATTACAGATACCATACGGGACGTAACGCCGAAAAGACGATCATGGTTGCAGGCGGTCGAACGGTTTTATCCCCGCCCCGACCATGACCTTCCCGACGGGATCGTTTTCGATATCCCACCTGCTTCTTCTCCCTCTCCCCCGGTGAATCAACCGATCGCAGCCGTTAGAAGCGGAACCTTGTCCGAACCCCCCTCGTCGGTTATAACCAATCTACACCTTGCCCAGATGATCCATACGGCCACTACCAAGCAGTCCGAATGGATGAGCAACCTGATCCAAATGCAGACCGCTCATATGGAACGAATGGAACAGATAATTAGCCGACTCATTAAGCCTAACCCGACACCTGGTCGGCCCGCCCCTGCATCGTTTCCACTCTTACCTGCCCCACCTGCTCCAGGGTTCGCGCCCCAGCTCCCTCATCAAGCAGGGAAGATCGAATGCTTTAACTGCAAACAGCCCGGACACTTTGCCCGAGATTGCCCGCAGCCGAAACGAAATCAGCCTCCCCCTGCTGCGGCCCCTGTCGCCCTTAATCAAGGACGAGTGACCGCTTTGATGGATACGGATCAAGGAAGAGAACTCGTGGCATATGCCCCCGAGCAGCCTTCCCCTTCGACGACAC